GTTTAACAAGTAAACCTCATTTCTGTGTTTGTAGTTTTTGTTCACTAGATGAAGAACCAGAAGAACGTCATCCCATGAACCAAACTATCCTGTACAATTTTGGTGTTTTGGCTGACATATTTGATATTGTGGCTCAAGAGATTGATGTAAGATTAATGGTAAGTGAAAATGCTTCCTTGGTGGCTAGTAGTGTAACCATGTGGCTCTATTTGCTCTAAGTAATGTTCAGTAGAAAAATCCTGTTGATTAGATAATAGTGGCATTCATGTTACAGATCTTGGCATGTTCCGAGAGTCTGGATTGGGTCGGCAAGTGCCAAAATGTGTGTGTGAACATATGCCAAAAAGAAATTCAATCTCGGTTCCAATAGAGAGTCGGGCATGAGATTTTGGTGTGATTTTGGCACGAGCCAAGTAGAACCCAATGTGGCTGGTTCTAACCAACTGCTGTAATTCCTCTCCAAACACAAAAGACACGTTTTGAGATCCCGTTACATGAATGTAGCAAATATGTATTGTACCAGGTTTATCCAATTCCACGTGGTTTCCTTAACCTCAATTAATCCTGATCATCTGTTACTGTGATAAAATAATAATTCATGTTATGTTATTTTCAATGCATGTTTAATTTCAATGAGTCTTCATGTATGTATGTATGAGTAATGAAAACTTAGATACAAATGGTCACCATGATTTTGTTGGGAACGAGAGCCACAAGACTTGTTTTCCATTCTCTCTCACCATCACATCTACTATTATACCATGGTTACAAAAAATTGAAGGTCAGTGGGCCTGATGAGAAGATAACGTGAGAGAAAAGAAAACTTTGAGTGACAAAAAGTCTTGTTGCTCTCGCTCTCATAGAGAACCCATCAGTAATTTGTGTTCAAGATCTGTTAGTGGAAATGGTGAACCCTTATAGGTGCAGATTAAGGTAGTGGCTTCCATTAAAATTCTAGATTATCAGATTTCATTAATTTATACAAAATGTGGTTTTAGTTGAGGCTATTGTTAATAAAACCTTGGTAAAAAATATTAGTGTCCAAATTAAATAATATTTTGAAAAAAAACTAGTTTTTAGTACAATGCTTTTTTCAGTAAAAATTAGGAATGGGAAATGATCTGGGTGTGATATTGGAAACTATATATACATGTACCTTTTAATACTAAAAGTGTTCTCAGAATAAAAAGAAATTGTGTTTATCGTGATTACATAATATACACATGAAGTGAGAAATAGGCAACACCTATCATGGATTTATAGTAGCTTCAAATAATAATTTGTAATTTAAATGCATTGATTCTTCTTGAAATAATATAAATTAAGAAATATATAAAACATTTTTCATAGGGTAAAGTTTGTGATCAAGATTGGCTTTGACATTTTAGTGTACGAACTTGACATTTCTTTTTTCAATAAACAGCAACAACTGAAGGGCACCAATAAACTAAAACATGTTCAGGTACGAGTAATTGTTAATACGGTATTGTGAGTGGTGTCTATAACCTGTGTTTTGTTTGTGTGGGCTAATTCTCACTCTAACTAAAATCTAAAGTCTTTGCTTTGTACGTGATATTGTTCATGCACATCTCTTGTTTGCATTTTGATTGTTACTATCAATGAGCTGAACTCTCTGGACAGTGGACTATCTTTGCATGTCTGCACGGAAACCATTTAAACAACACAATTATTGAAAACTGACAATAAATGTATTACTAAATTATAATACTTTGTGTTAATATTACAATATACATTGTACAAAGAAAATTGTTAAAAATTACTTAAAAGTTAATGTATCTACAATTTTGATAAATGTACATAGTTTCTGTATATTTGTTTTCAAAGTAGGTAGCAAAAATAACATACCCCAGTAATACATGGCTGGCCAATACGAGCTAGCCTACTGTCAACTCTTCAAATGAATAATACAGTGCTTATCAGCATGATATGACAATGAGTCTTAACACATCTCCTACTGAGCCCATCTGTGGAGGCTTTCAGGAAGTGGGGTGGGAGGTGTACATCTCTGCTTCTTCACAATGTGACTATTACAAAACATTTGTAATTGTATGTTAACGCACTGAAATGTGCACCCTTTGTCTCCCACTTCTTTGACCTTTATCAGTGATTACGTAACTTTACTTTAGATCATTTCCTGGTTTGTGCTATTTTAGTCAGTATCCCATAAACCATCTTGTGTTTACATTTTGCCATCTTAGCCAGTCATTACAGTTTGCTTCATCATTTTGTATTTTTTTCCCTCTGTACTTATTTTATGTCTTATTTATTTATCAATAAATACAGCTGGGGGGGGGGGGGTTGTCACACAGGGAATCCATACTCTGTTTGGGCAACATGTCGCACTTGTCCTGAGATGATTTGGAAGTTACGACTCGCTGCAGGACATAGGCCTCAATGACGCCTACACATGGAGTCCCCTTAGATGGCGCCCTCACTCAAGTACCACATCGTTCTTGCCATGATGGTGGTCAAAGGCGACCGATATCATGGAATAGACGGCTAAGCCGCTTGCATGCCGAGGCTCTTGATCCCCCCTACTTTTCTCGCATATCAATCTCTTGTGTCATTTCTAGTGTGTTAACACTTGTAAACAATGCAGTAACACACTGTAATAAAATAGTCGAGAATGAATTTTTCTGGGTTGAATTACATTTCCTAAAATTGCCTAATAATGAGAGAATTGGAAACATATTAAGAGAGAAATATAAGATCATAGCTGTGACAGAAGTGTCTATGGTTAAAAAAAACCATATTTTAATTATTCATAATACAATGATTGGTTCATGTATTTAGCAATTAGCAAGTGCAAGCACAAAGACTTAAATACATGGTAAATTTTGCCAAGTATATAAAAACACTTGCAGTCCAATTGTGAAGCACAACTTGATTATTTCTGTGACTACTGCAGCTACTAAACTATTTCTTTCACATTGACTTCAAATTTAAAGTGTGACGCGGAACTGGCACCAGGAAGGGTTTTGGTATGTATGCTGACTGCCTGTGTATGTCCTTTACTTTTGCAGTTGTATCATGATGATGATAATGCTAACTTTTATAATATTGTACATGTTATAACATTCTAAGTTTAGTGATATCTTTAATTTTGTAAATTTGAAGATTTATACGTTCTATTAGTAGTGTTGGCAAAAATGTTAATCATTCGGTATACATTGAATGAATGCTTATTTTGGTTTAATGTGACTTTCTATTGGGGAAAAGCTTCTAATAGCAGCTAATAAATTATTTCAAACACAAAATTGAAGTACTTCTACTTTTATATTGCTATTTTCTAGCAGCATTATAACTACCAGTACATATATAGAATAGAATAGAATGGAATAGAATAGAATAATGCTTCATATATGCCTCCCTTGCTTTAGTCTTGCAGGCATTTGATTAATTGCTCTCGCAAATTGTATGTTGTGCCCTCGGTGCTAGTGGTCTATGGTGCTTTTGTTTTTATATGAGCCCTTACATTGTTAAGACAAAGTTAGACAAATATATGCGATAACTTTAATTTTGTAAATTTGAAAATTTATATGCTCTATTAGTACAATGTAGTGTTTGTGCTTTAATGGCCAAAATTTTATTCATCCGGTTTACATTGAATGCTTATTTTGGTTTAATGTGACTTTCTATTGGAGACAAGCTTCTAATAGCAGCTAATAAAATATTTCAAACACAAAATTGAAGTACTTCTACTTTTATATTGCTATTTTCTAGCAGCATTATTACTACCAGTACATAAATGCTTCCCTTGCTGTAGTCTTAATTGCAGGCATTGATTTCCTTAATTGCTCCTACAAATTGTGTGTTGTGCCCTCGGTGCTAGTGGTCTATGGTGCTTTTGTTTTTATATGAGCCCTTACTTAGTTAGACAAACATATATGCGTATTGAATGTCTTTCCATTTCTAGAGCAATAAATAGAATTGTAAATGTCTTTGTCTTATCTGTTTCCTTTTTTGTTATATATGTCTACTTCAAAAACTAGAAATGCATAGATCATTTAAAAATGTTGTATTAGAGTTCTTTATCTAAAACATTAATAATATTGAATTTAGTATAAATATCCATTATAAAGACTGCTAGGAAACAACATACATACATACTGAGATGAACATTGAATTTCTCTTCTTACTCTGTTGCCAGCAATTTGCTGATGTTAGGAAGTATATTTATCAATATATACTTGCTATACTGAGATCTTACCAAGTTGATTTAATTATTAAAAACAAACATGGCATACAGTTTGAGTACCAGATTCAAAACTTCATACCTATTCACTGACTGGTAAAAAGCATTTTTGTTAATGAATGTGGGAGTAGTTTTGAATCTCACTTCTGACATTGTAATTTTTTTTTCTTTTTTCCAAAAAAACAAGTTATGCTTGAACAATGTATTTATTTAATTATTTTCACTAAATTTTCATTTATGATTAATACTAGTATATGCATATATGCTTAAGTTTCCCCATGTCTAATGTAAGTAAATTATTTATTGCTTGTAAAGAAAGCCAGACAAGGTTCAGAATAAACTGTAATATTATATATACTTTATCTGTAGTCTCAAGGCAAATCAAAAGTAGCTGTAAGTTATAGTAGAAGTATTCCACCATTTATTGTATCATTTTGATATTCTCCTGAAAGCACAATCAAGCCTATTGTTTTTTTAAATCCCCTAAAAGTTACTAGTTTCACATAAGATTTCATTTTTTATTTTTAAAAATTAACTAATAAATTTCGAGGCACACTTTTTCATCACTTTTATCAAAGAAGTTGTTGATCACATTCTGCTTATAGCTTCACCCATCTTGTAAGTGATGGAATTTGATATCACATCGCTGCTATCTTTTAAAGTCACATCCATGTTTTAAATGTAATGGTACATAATACAAAGGAAATCATTGTGCAATTTCAGTTTTGAGTTTTAGTCTTCATTTGTTTGTTTTCCACATTATTCTGTATGTTTTCATTCTACATGTGTCTTGTAGCACCAATGTGTGTTGTGCTGTTGTTGTTGCATGTTCTTAAGAATTGTTTGTCTCTCTTTATTATTCAGCTTGGTTTTTGACTAATGCTTGTCTGCTGGTTTCAATTCAACATTCATAAATTTACCCTAAAACTGGTATTTCTTTTGAGGTATTCAAAACATATTTTACTCACTGTACATGTGCGATGGGACGAGAAGGAACAAGAGAGTTTTCCATCCTATCAGGAAATCATGACAGTACATGCAGTTAATAATATTAAACTTTCCTGTTTTAATAATTAATTGTTTATCCCACCAGGAACAATATTCTGGGTTACAAGCAATCTTCAAGAAGTGTTTCGCATTCCTTCAAGTTATGGCAAGGTAATTTAGGGTAGTTATTTATCAAGACTGTATATATATGGCTATTGTGAGTATAGTGACCTCTAAGCTGATATGTGTCACTGATGCAGTTACCGTAGTTAAGTTTATTCCTGGATGCATCATTGACACAATGGATAATATTAGGAAACACAAATTCCAAATATGGAGTGATTATGCACATAAGCGTCCTCTAATAATAAAAACAAACATGGCTGCCCCCAGGGTTTGACCGGACTCCACACAAAGAAGTTCGCTGATTCTGCTCCAAGCATTTTGGATTTTGGTATTCCCATGATGTATCCTTAGAAGGAAAAGATGTATAATAATAAGGTTATTATTAGGATACTGGAAACTATGCATTCAGACAGTACATGGTCACATCAACCTCTGCTGCGTGTCAATCAATACTTCTGCTGTACTGTCTTCGCGCATACTTTCCAGTATCGTAATAACCTCATAGTAATTTGAGATATGGTAAAATGAATTCACATTAAATTAAATAAACAAGTGTAAAAACAAAAAATGAAATCAGATGCCACATTGATTACATTCACATGTTGTTCCTAGACTGCATTTTTCACTGAATTACTGTATGTATCAACTTGATACTTGTCTCTGACCTGCCTAGTTACAGTGGACAAGTTAAAATCTGTACTGAGTGCATTTTTATTTTTATGTTATACACAGGGGAAATGAAATCGTACAAAAGAGATTGTATGACAGATTAGATGTTCTACTCGATGTCAAAGGTGCTGAAGCTGAAATGGCAAAGGCTCTTACAGAGGTCAGGAAACATGTCCAACTCCATACTCAGAATCATTTGTTTACAGATTTATTCATTTTAGGTCAAAAAAAACAAAAACATTTTGCTTCTCATTATTGCGCATGTCATTTTAAAACACATTTTTTTCTTGATTTTGTGTACTGGTATAAAGTATGCCTCATACAATTATGGTAGAATTGGAAAATGTGTTGTTTTCTGTTTCAGAGGATATTTTGTTTCTCCAAATCAACTTTAAATGCATGTTTTTAAAAAAATCATTTAATAATTGTTAAACAATGAACTTGTATCTTGTTGTGGTATTAAATCTAAAAAACCTTTTTTTCTTAGCCAAAAGGCAGAAATAAGGGTTAGATAAGATGCTTGTTGTTACTTGCATATTTTAAGATAGTGGTAGTTTATTACAAAAAATATGTTTTATTATTATAATCACATAAACATCTGTTGCAAGAAATAATTTATTTTTATAAATCATATTTAACAATACCAAAAATAAATAAATAATGGTTTGTTTGTGTGTTTTTATTTAAGGTATTTACAGGTAATAAGACGACATGCTTAAAAATCAGAATGCATCAAGTCCAGAAAGTAATGCATCTTGTATCACAACATTTAAATGAAGTGCCAGAGTTTCTTGAGTTGCTCAATGCTATTGTAAAGGTATGTTATTATTACCATTTCAATTATAGAGCTAAATTTCATACCAAAGTCATTGTCACTCCCCTGCCTTAGCCTTTTCACCACCAGTTCCTTCTTTTCATCACACATTCACAAAATAGTCCCGCCCATAGTCTGCACTTTCCATCAAAAGATTTAGACAAAAATAGAAATTTTTTTTAGTAAAAACTGAAAATTGACTCACATTTATCTGTTGGCTCTAAAATTAGGGATAATTCATAGAAATATTGAAGAAAATAAGAAAAAAGTGCAGAAAAATTAGGACAAGAAAATCTGGTAGTGAAAAGATTAGAAGGTTTGAGCTGAATTGAAGATTATGTCGTGTTCATCATATTTTCGTTGTTATTGGTCCATGCCATCAGGCAGACCAAAAATAAAAAATGAAAATCGGGTCACTGGACAATTTTTTGAGATGTGTTTGCACAGTGAAAATGTTTTTTTGTTGTTATTTCAGGCTATAATCTCTCTAAATTATTATTACAAGCAGGAAAAAGATGTATATAAATAATAAGCTCATCACAAGTATACCGCAAACTATGCACTAAAGCTGTACGTTTTACATCAACTTCCGCTATGTGTCAATCAAGACGATCACCATTCAGCCTGCATGCATACAACTGTACTTGGCGGTATTTTTTTGATAACCTCCCACATACAAAATTTGAATTTAGCTTGATTTTCTCTGACACAAAAAAATAGTGCACATTTGTCCTTCGCAAAAATTAAAGAAGAGGGACCTTTATTTCTGTGCAATGCTCTCAAGTGATATAAGGAAGAAATGTGTTAACTCCATATTGGATTATGGGATCGAAAATTTAACTATAGAGGGCTTTTCAACATCTCTTTGCAAAATTCAATATGATAGTGTTTAAATGTTTTGAATACTTTAAAAATGACTTAATTATTCACTGAATTTTAATGTTGCTATTTTTCCCTGATGAAAATGTTAAATTAAATGCATGTGAACATGTAAAATTACAATGGAACTTTAAAATCTAGTGTATATGATAAAAATATCAGAATGGTACAATCAAATATGAGTAAAAATTAAAGCTTTTACAGTAACTGCAACCCACCTTTAATTTTCCTTGAGAAAAATGTTCTAACATCATGAGACAAGATAAAAACATGAAATTCTGTTGAAGTGTACTTTTCACGGAGTTCCATGAGTCACAATCACTTCTGCAAAATTGTATCATCTTATATTGAAAACAATTGTGGTACTAGTATTTGCTTGTTTGTTGTGGTAACATGCATTTATTGCTTGCTAAGATTATTGTTATTGTAGAGATTTACACTTCCACTGATTGTTATTGTGTTTTGATTTACAGGTTGAAGAACTGAACCTTCCAATCAAACGTAATCAATCCTACGTGATGAAATTCTTTATGCAGTACAGACCAGAAGTTGCATATATCATAGATCAAACACCAGAAGAAAGGTATGTATATTACAAATATAATTATTGTAATATTATTACAATTTGGTTCATGTGTGTTTGCTTGATATTGTTCGTGATAGCAACAAAAATCACTGTTGATAATGTTCATGTTGCAGAGAAAAAGTACTACTTTCTGATGAAAGCAACCCAGATTTGATATACATGTCGGCATTAGTGGATGTATTAGCAACATGTGCAGAGGTAAGTAAAATAAAAAAAAATGTAATAATATTTTAAAGTAAATGATGCACTATTAGTCAATTTTATGGCATAGAATGACAACCTTTTAGTTACTGGTGAAATACATATGACTGTAAGACTATTAATCTAACAACTGTTTTCTATGTTTTAGGGTGAGAATAGATTCATTGAGTCTATCTGTCAAACGATCTTTTCATTGGATGAGTTGCTATCTATATTGTCCAATCCTAATATCAGCAATAAGATTAAGAAACCATTTGCTCGGTTCACCTTGTGGGTGTACTTGAATACAGCTGGTGGGATGGTTGATAGCGGTGCTGAAGATATGCCCCATGATAAGTAAGTATTAACAATTTGAAATAGTTATTTGAAAATAATAATAACAATTTATCATACACCTTGTATTGCCCGGCCATGTAACGCTACGAGAAGTGTGCCCTCGCATCAGGGCAATAATTTCTCGTATCACGCCCGGCCCAGTGTGCCCGCCTTTCATCAATCAAAACTGAACACATCCTTCTAAATTACGTTGTGTGTTTGAGGTAACGGCATCGTAAAATTGTATACATCTATGAGGTATATGATAAAACTTTCATGGTCTGGATACGGCTTTTGCTGCCCTCGGTTGTATGGCTTACATGTATGTGCCCTCGCAAACTCGGGCGATCTCACTGCATAACCTTGGGTTGCAAAAGCTGTATCCAGTCCATAAGGCCAGACTTTTTTTATTCCTTGTTTCTCGAGTTTTTATAAGGCTATTTTTTTGAATTCTTTTTTTCCATTAGATTTGTGTGATTCTCAAAGAATTGTAAGTGAGATCATTGATCAGAGAGAAGAAATGAAATTAAATTTTATGTATAAGCTTGTTTCTCATCTGCGCGAGACTTCAAACCTTTGATCATGATACTCCCATGAAAATGCAACTTGGATTTGTTATGCGACGGGCAGAAAAAAAATGAAGATAAAAAGTTTTTTTAAGCAATTTTTTGCACTTACAAGTCGACAGGCGCGAGAAATTACGCTGAAATGAAATTTTATTTTTATTTCATTTTCGGCTCCTGTTCGTTCAGCGAGTTCGCGAAACAAGGGATAATAAAAATCTGGCCTAAAGAATAATATTCCCCATCTTAGTTTTTGTACAGTTGTCCTACTCCACATTGCATACTTGCAACAGACATTCTGTCCTCAATTGTATCACTAGTTGCACTGTTATTTATGTTATGATTTGATCAACTCTTCATATTTTTTTTGTAGGCGTTTTTGGGGAATAATGGAAAATATGACTAAAGAATTTGAGAGCCTCATTGAGTATATGAGCAATAATAAAAGCAAAGTAAAACAACAATTGAAGAAGGCACCAGCCAAGGTAGATCCAACAGAAGATGGCAAAAATCATGCTACATTGCATTATATATTTGATGGAATGTTGCCCATGATTCAGGTGAGAAGATTATTACAATTATTTTGGATCACATTTAATTTATTCAATCAATATTAACACTGCGTAATAAATTATGAATAAACACACAAATCAGAACTGTTTATGCATGACAGGTGTAATTTCAAAATATGTTTTGACAAGTATAAAGTGAACTTTGATTTTACCTGTAAATATGAATGATTTAACAATTCACTTCATCATAACTGAAGAATTATGTTATTTTTTATTTTCCCAGGTGTTCTTTATGCAGTTTTATAGAATTGATAAAGAACAATACCCTGACGAACCAGATAAAGTTGATAAACTTGCGACAACTGTGCTGGTATGTATGTCACAGTCAATACTATATACATAATAAGACTTTTAGTGCAATAATGTGCTGACCTGTATCGATAATTTTCTGAGATCTGACTCATCTGTTGTCATTTCAGTATTTTTGTTCCTTCTTTTTCACTGAGAAATATTGTGATTTCATCTCAAAAAGCACCTTGAAACAGGTGCAGAATGTACCTGAAAACACAATACATGAAATTACAAGTAATATTCCCCGGATTTCCCAATTTCACTTAGAAAGCTGGGAGCCTGATTGTAAAAATAAGGCTTAGAGGGAATGCTGATTTGATATGATGTTTAAAGGGTGGTGGTTATCGTAAAATTTAAATTTCATGTAAACAAAAAATGTATTTTACACACTTTGTGTATGAGTCCCATAAAGACAAGGATGCAGCAAGAAGACCACCATCCTGTAATGTGTTCTCATTTTAACTGTCATTAATGATCATGATTCACCATCAAATCCAAATTCATTTCGATTTGAAGGTCAATGAAACTTTCCTTCAACACAATGCTGCATCAGATATTAAAACACCATTGATGATAGTCATGCAGCTACTGATTAGTTATTATATTAAATTATATCATTCCTTTTACTTTAAATTATGATTTATTCTTTTTGTAGAATTTTGTAAAGGTTGCTGGTGAGTTGTTATCTAATATGACACATATGAAAACAATGGTGTCTGCAAGTACTGCTTTGTTAACTGCATCAACTCTGGATATCAAGGTAGGTGATTTCTTCAATGTAATCAATGTATTGCGTATTCGAATCTGGTAATTGTGAGAAAGTTAATCGTAACTTGTAATTGTGGTTAAAAATGTCTTGTCGGCAAAATATAATGTTTTCTCTTTGGCATGTGAAATTATATACATAATATAATAAATGTGAAAGTTATGGTACATTTTTTGTATTTGCAAAATCTCGACATCAAATTTATTTGCCGATAGCAACATCACTGAACAGTTTCATAGATTCAGTTGTGATTGAGTTTTCAGCATCTTAAGGTGTCATCAAGTCACAGAATCTCATGTGGGTTTCTATATTTGACGGCCTAAGATAGGCTAATACACAAAATCATTATTTGATGTGAAGCATTTTCTGTTACAATTAGTCTGATATGCACACCAGACTTTTGGGTTTCTCTCTGTATAGCCATTAGGGGCCTTCCTTTTGAATTTATAGAACGATTATTTTACTTGTGATTTCACTGCATCTGAGAAAACTTCAACATTATATACTTCCTACTATTAAAGGTTGTAGTTGTATTTAGCTCACACCTGTAGCATGTCAGCTTTCAATCAGTATACTAGCTGTAACTCACAAATGCAGTAAATTTTAGACTTCATTTTTTGCGCCAATATACTTTTATTAAATATCACGCTGTGTTGAATAGTGATACATGTATTCATGTAGATTTGATTCAACAATTTGGGAAATGTGCCATTCTTTCCCCTTAAATCTACTTCTCATAGTGACACTATGAATGTCACAATTAATACACCACATGCAACTATCATTAGTCTCAATCTCAATATGCAAGATACAACATTTTTTCATGAAATTTGCCTGATAATCCAAATTTTTTAATTGCATTTCTGTACCTTCAGAGCAAGTTTAGTTAATTTTTTTTCATTTTACCTATTCCTAGTCAGTGTTATTTACATTTTCATCACTGTTTTTCTATCACACAATATGATATACCCCATAATATTTCATGGAAGTTTTTTTTCTCAGTTACCTCTTTCTTCCGCATTTTAGCACTGAGATATTTTTCCGATCAAATCTTTTTAACCTGTTCTTTGCACTGTCTTAACCAACATCTTTTTTTTGACTGCGTAACCTAATCCTGTGACAGTTTGAGGTAACTTGTATAAAAACAATGTTTGTCTCAATAACAAACTTTGATATACATGTCGGCATTAGTCGGCATTCATTTATCTTTTAATTGTATTGCTTCTTTGTATTCTATTGAAAGTGGTTATCAATAGTTTTCTATTAATCACTTATTACTAATTAAACAACTAAATATCACTTTTTCTTCACTTTCTATCAATTATCATTAACCATGATGCATTGCAATTTGTGTTTCTCATCATCGCACATTTCAGTTTGAAACCAGTCTTTCTTCATAATTTTATATACCAGTGAAGTGTACCACATACTGTATAATGGAGGGAATATCTATTGTGTATTCTGAGTTCATGTATTTCTGTTTCAAAAGATGCTTTTAAAAATTCAAATCATGTTATGCCTGAATTTGAACTGAGAAGAAACAAATGTCATAGCGACGTAGTATTTTTTGCAATTTTCCAGACACAATAATGTGGTATACGCATTTGAAGATGGTTAATTTTGATGAAGTGAAAAAGGTATCTCATCACAATATTCCCCTCTCCAAAGATTGGCATTTTGACATTGTGCTATAAAAATTGAATTTCCAGTTCAAATTCAAATCATTCAATTTTTTCGACAGAGTTTGATTCTGTTTTTTTCACATAATATATAAGATCTTGCAGTGGTCAGAAAATCATCTATTGAGATAGATATGTTACTTCTTTGTGTATCCTGTCATGGTTATGACCATCAAAAACCCATTTCATATAATTTTCAGAAATATTGTGTTTTTGTAAATACCAAATTTACAGTACATTTGAAATTTATATGAAAGTACTAGCATTTCACAAATGTTTAATTCATGGCAATAACCACCATAGGTACATTTGTAACTAATTTATATGTGAAATGTCATCCCAATAGAAGATAACAGCTGTGGTAAATGTTCCCTTGAATAGTTTATGCAACACAAATTGCAATGCATCATTTTACATGTATATTACATATATATAATTTCTTCTACACTTTGTGAACTTGTGAACTTGTATGTATTAACTTCAGCAAATAGTGTCTGAGTCTTCTCACGCAGCCACAAATACTATACATGCAGTATGTCAACATTTATATGATACATGTGTCAAGCTGTGAAGAAGAGACTGGATAAATACAATTTGTGAAATATATTTTATAGTATACTGTATTATTGTACATCTAGCACCAAAAACAATAAAATTCACTGCTTTGTACAAAACCATATTTGCATTTATTGCAAAACATATTTGCACGTGTGTGAATGTTCGAATTTCCCTTCATATGGGGTAAATTATGTCACCAGTATTATCACTCAAGCTCTGTCAATGAACACAAATGTTTGAACAACACAAAACATTTTTGATTGTCCTTTAAGGCTATAACTCATTAATCTCATTAACTCATTAAATTATTAATACAAGCAGGAAAAAAAATATAATAAATAGTGAGGTTATCACCAGAATACCGCAAAGTATTATCTCAGGCAATTCGGGATCACATTAACCTCCATTGGTCAATAAAATTACCGCACTGCCTTCTTGCATACTTTGCGGTAACCTCATAATACTGCTTATATGAACTTTCAATATTTAGACGAAACAAAACAGCTGATGATGTGTTTTATACTTGTCATAGGTAATGGAAGATTTCAAAGCCAAATATACCCATGGTGGACGCTCACAAGATGTGAGGAGTGATGCACAAAAGGTAGCTGAACTTTGTTTACCAAAAGAAATGATTAATACATCTTAAATAACAGCGATTGAATGTGTCATGTTACATTATTAAAGTTAGAACTGTGATTTATTTATAACTCTGATTTTTCCGTTCATTCATTCATTCAATCAATATTTAATTCTGTACTTTATATTTATAGAAATATGAAGATTATTATAAAGCTGAAGAGGAGGTGAATGATTTGTTAAACTTGTTTGCCAATAACTACAGTTTGTCTTATGGTGGTGAGAACACAGTGAGTGTGCAACTTAAAAAAGACAGTGATAATACACGAGGTGAGACTACAATTTTTTTATCTCTATCATTACGTAATCGTTAATACTGTTCAGTATAGTCTGAGCAGGTATTTGTTAACAACTTTGAGTATAGTTACTGTGTGTGTTAAACTGAGAATTGGGAAAGTATATCACTTATCCAGCTCAGTCTATGATTTCAACAGCTGGCCTTGATTATTAAAATGTCATTGTTATGAGGATTTAGTTAACCCAATGTTGTAGCATATGGTCTTGTTCATTGCCCATGTGTATGTTACAAATACAGATATATAAACAGCAGGAAGGTTATTACGAGAATACCTCAAAGTATGCACGAAGACAGTACAGCGGGAGTATTGACTGATGTGCAGTGGAGGTCGATGCGATGGTGTACTGTCTGAGTGCATACTTTGAGGTAATCCTCATAATAACCTTATGATTATACATGTTTTCCTTTCAAGGATACATCATGGGAATGCCAAAATCAAAAATGTTTAGAACAGAATCAGCGAACTTCTTTGTGTGAAGCCCGGTCAAACCCTGATGGCAATCATGTTTGTTTTTATTATTAGGACACGCTTATGTGCGTAATCAATTCATATTTGGAATTCGCATTTCCTAATATGGTAGGATGAAAATACCGCAAATTAACTTATGACATTACGGTGACAGATGTATAATATATATGTAATTTTCTTTTTCAAAGAATACACTGAAATTGGTGGTGATGAAGAACTTCCTCTTGGTGAAGAATTTCAAGAACACGTAAACTGTTTCATATACAAAAGTTCCCATAACAGTTTACCAATACAGAATTTGAAAAAAAAGAAGAAGAAACAGACAGAATCCAAATATGAACTTGCCAGCAAACTGGTAGAAGAACTCTTGTAAGTACCTCTACATACCTCCCACTTTTAGTAGATATTAAGATTAATTTATTAAAAAACTGGACTCGTATCAGTATATTGCCAGTAAATAATATCCTAAAACAGGTATATCTTGAACCAAAATAACCCAATTTACAATGGTTTTCTGCAATACAAAAAATGATGAACAACATGAATTTTTCCCTAGAACAACAGAATGATTTATTAACAAGAAATATAAAGCAAATTGGCAAAGTTATCAAACAAAGATACATACATTTCTGGAGAAAAATATAATTAAAAAAACAAAACTGAGGACTTTAAAGAAATTCAAAAATTCTTATAATTTTGGAAAATACTTGGATGTGTTGAATTTGAAACAAAGAATTTCAATGACAAAATTTTGAACTAGTATCGGGGGTAATCACATTTTACTATTAGAAAAAGGAAGAAATATGCAACCAAAAATACCTACTGAAAACAAAACTTGCAAACAATGTACACAGAATGAAATAGAAGATGATTGCTATTAACTGATAGAAACATTGTATTTCTAAGGATGCAATAAAGTTATTATTATTATTACTTTTATGTGACTTTTATATCCTTGAAAATGATCAATCTGATTAAAATCTGATGTAGTGTATGGGCTTTAATTATTTTGCCTATAAACTTATTTTTATTTTTAATATATTATTACTTTTGTTATTAATGCCTTTTTATTTTATTATTTTACTTTGATTTTGTGATTATTTTTAATTCCACCTTGGCTTTCGCAATTACCAAAACTTCAAAAAATAAATACTAGATCAAAATAAAATAAAATATAATGTGCTTAACATTGCCTTCTAAAATCCTCCATGGATATTAGAAATGAATAAGAAAAAGTGATGTCAGCAAGCAATTGCTCAAATACCAAATGTTTTTGTGTTGTATATAAACTGAATACAACACTTAGGATACAGCTATATACGGTAAACATATTGAAAACTGTAGAGTATCAATAATGTAACATTTGTGTGCTAAGACATTAAAGCTGTTTAACAATTGTTCTGTTTTCTCATAAGGATTTCTGGTAACAATCCCCGATCAACAGAGCGGGAAAGGCTATTACAAGAAGCATTGGATGTTAAGTGTTTGCAGGTAAATTAAATATTGAAAGAATTATCATCAAAAAGACACAGAATATTCCAAATAATTATGCACCTCACATTGTGTGCTTGTTCCATTATTGAACTCAGAAATATGTTATGTTGTTAACTCCTGGACAGAGAATTCTCATTGATATGTGATGTATTTTGCAGTTACTCAGAGCGTTAATTCACAATGAAGAGCGTCAGTTACCAGAAGATTGGTTAAATGATCCTAAAAACAATGAAGAGTAAGTACTATTTTGCAGTGTGTCCTCTAACAGGACTGAATTTGTAGGAATCCTGAGTCAAAATTGTGTATCTTTTTACCATACACTCATATAAACTGTAGCCACTTGTATTTAAATTTGCCATTCATATATACATGTATAATATTTGCTCTATTAGCAGCACATTCACTCACATGAATTACTGAGATGTGTCTATATATAGTTGAGCATACAATAAATTTTGGTTTATTTGTCAATGAGTTCCATAGTTCCTAATATTGGCCACAAACTTAACCTGCTGGCTAAATAATTTGGTGTGTCTGCTGATAGTGACTTGAAAGTCAGAAAAACTACATTTGTATAAAATAGTAAATGCTGTGATTGATTGGCATATTTACAGAAGATAAAAATATCTCAAACATATCATATATTGCATATCCACTAATACAGCTGTGAAATATTTGCCATTTGTGACAACTGTATGATATTCTTTTTCTAATTTTATCAGTCAACTTGAAAAGATTGTGGCTGTACAAAAGGAATTGAATGAACATGGTGCCATGTTAAAAGTATTACCGTTATTGGCCAGGACAAGTGATAGTTTAGCAAGAGAAGTGTTAGCGTTTTTATCAGCTATGTTATTTGGTGGGAATGAAGACGTACAGGTAAGCATAACACTTCATATTCCATGCTAGGTTTTATATTGTGCAATCGTTTAATACTGTGATTATTCAGAATGTGGTAATTTTTAAGATTCATGTGAACATCATAATGGCTTAATTCCTTTCTGCGCATTTGCTCTGATTTTTTTTACTTTCGCAAAAATGTTTTCACTTTCTGCCATCTCTAGAATGTCCCAGTGAGCAAACATCTGATATGAGTACATGATGAATTAGGCATAGCTGCCTTTAAGACAGAACTGGCTTTGCTGTTACCAAAATATGTATTCTATAAGGCTCTTAAAAAAGTAAATGAAGAAATAATTCATTGATCGGGCACCTGTTGAGTGTGTGGATTAAGATGTTGTGATTGTACATAATTCTTAACACAATAATCTATATTACTTTTATCAGAAAAACTAAACTTGAATAATAACACTAAAAAAAAGTAATAATTGATGCTTTATTGTTTTATGGACATTTGTTTCATATTTACATACTGTTTACTCTATCTTTGAGGGATTCTGTTGTGTACTATAGTTGAAATACTGTCTTGTGTGGCAGTTAAATTCTGTCATTGCATAGGACTATGCAAGGAGTAGCTCTTAATAAAAAAAAAGAATAACTTTAATCTACATACAGTGGGAAACTACTTTAATAAGTTGAAAACATCATAACTGAATAAATAGATTGGTTGAATTAAAAATAAAAGTATACTAGTGTTTCCTACCATTGAAAGAGCCTGATGTTGTGGTACATTTCCTATGCCTGTGTAGTACAGCAAAGAGTTTTTACCCTGGAGCCACTTTCTGGGTTCACTTGAAAGGCCGTACCCTCAGGAAACTATGAGGGCTATAGAAAGGGTTTATGAATGTGGCACAGATACATGTATGTATTCAATATCCTAAAAATAATGTTTTGTTTATTACAGTCAAGTCTAATTGATTATTTCTTAAGTACAAGAGAAGAACATTTCTTTATGGCGATTAAAAATCGTATGAATTTATCTGCTGTGGCTACTAAAGAAAAGTAAGTTTTTATTTTGTGACTCAAGAACTGTTTGTGGCAGCCTTGTTATGCACAAGCAATTGGTGGTAAGCTATTCAATGGAAAAAAAACTAATTGTATTCTTGCATTTGCAATATGTATATACCGTAAACCATTTTAGTTTCCTGAGAAACAATGTTTTTCACTACCAGACTTTCTCACTCAAATTTGTCTGCACTTTTTACTTATATTATTTAATATTTCTGTTTTGGAGCCAACAGAGAAGATTTTAGTTTATTTTCAGTTTTTACTCAAAAAAATTGGCTATTTTCGTCACAACCTTCTGAAGGAAAGTGCAGACTATAAAATGGGACTATTTTGTGAATTTGTGATGAAAATAGAGAACTGGTGGTGAAAAGGTTAAAATTGATCATACATGAGGACTCCTGAACATCCACTTTGAAACCCACCCATGTTCATCCAACTGTATTGATCAATCTTCAAAATGTGAATATTAATAGTAGTGATAATTTAATGCTTTACAGTTTTACTCAGTTTTATCATTTATCATTTATTTAATGTGATTACATTCAGGCGAGCACTTCAATCCCAACATCGAGCCAAAATTGATGAGGCATTGGAGCAACAGAAAAGTTTGAATAAAGCCTTGAGACATGGCAAGGTTATTGCTGAGGTAAGTAACAACAATTTGGAGTCTCAAGTAACTATATATAATAGTATAATAGTCACTGGTGCAATCTAATGGATTTACATCATCCGTTTGAAATAAACTGTAGCAAAGTAAGAAATAAAAAAAAAATCAGTTTAGTTAAGATATCAACTGAATACCAACATAATGATTATAATTTATAATTGCAGACCATCTTAGCTGGATCTATGATGATGAAAAGGAGTACTGCTGGCAGCAAAGGTAGACTTGGTAGTAGATTTGGTAGTAAGAGAGGTAAAGGAGGAATGGTTGGGGTAAGTTGCTTTGTCAGCTGTAATCACTACACTTCTATATTACCAAATGTTTTCATATACCTTGTTTGATACTAATCTTTATTTCTGTTATAAATGTATCTACCACAGAATTCTGGGATATATGATGATCCTTATGTAGATTGCTTATTCCTCATCATTACTTTCTTTTATGGTGTGCCCTCTAAGCCGATATGATGAGCCATTGCCGCACAAAGATTTCGTTGTCTAGTTGTGATAATTCACTTGATCGTCATTGACATAAATCATACATTGATCTAGTAATCTTTAACAACATATTACTCTAGGTAGGGAATTTGTAATTTGGTAAAATGAAATTCACATTTTATAAACAAAATGAGTTCAAATACGAAGGAAATCAGCAGTCACAACATTTTTATTTGCGCCTCCACTCTCCGATACAATAACATACAAGTTTTTTCTTGACCTCAGCAGTCAACAAGCTGACTCAACTTGTTTTTTGGTGAATTTCATTTCACTTAGGATTTCTACAAAATCAGTCCTGTAAGAGGGAACACTGTTCTAATAGTTTCAGTACCTATAAAGCGTGGGGTTGTTAATAACATTTTTTTTCAGTTTATATTTTACTGGAATGAGAAGACAATAGGGAAACAAAAGCCAGATTAGTTGTTCTAACAACAACAACAACAACAACAAAAACAAAAATAATATCCCATGATTCCTAGGTGCAATCTTGTAGTAGATTGAGTAGGAATGCTTAAAGCCAATTATAATGAATTGAGTAATCTTACTATCTTCTTTATTTTGTCACCACTGATTGTCTATGTGTTATATTCTATATATACCTTGTTTTCACATTCTCTCTCTCTCTCTCTGACTTTCTAAATATGCACTCTCTACAGAGACACAGAAAACATAAGGTATACAATAACAGCCTTTCTTTACATAGTAATTATCTTATTATCACAAATAATTAATTATTTTCAACTCTTACACTAGCCTGACAAGGTCGCGTGAGTTGCTCCCTCAACTGTGCTCCAAACCCAACACACGCCTGACAGAAAGATGTAGTTTTTCATTTCCCCAACGATTTTTTGTTGTTGGTACCAATCAAATTGAGGAACATCAGCATGTTTTTTAGCACAGTGACTCTTTCTCTGTCGTCCACATCTGTAAACACATTTTGTTTACTTCCGTTATCTAATCTGCTCTCAGGTTTAAACCTTGATTTTATAATTGACGGTGTTACCATGACCACCAAAATGAATATTCATTGAAACTCATTGCAAGAAGGCGTGAACTTTTCGAATTTGCAGTATTGATCTTGCCGACAGGCATACACTATTCTCCGTTCGGCCGGTGAGGGCGCCACTCACACCTACATATCAGGCTACTCTTACACTTGATTTTTAAGTGAATAAGGCAAAAGACGAGTTTTGAGTTCTTGGGCATTTTCCATGGTTGCCACAAAAGAGGGGAGGGGGGGGGGCGATTTTACCACTGGTCACCCATTAAGTTAATGTTTGATGTATGTGCGATAAAAAACTGAAAACTGAAACTGGTATAATAAAATAATTTTTTGAAATGTGTATTTCTGCTGACCAGAAGTGAATCAATTTAATTTTCTATCACATGATGCACACAATACATTCATTTGATTGCTCAGTGCAGATGATTGAGAAATTATAAAAAAAGGTTTCACAGTTTATTTACAAGGCCTTTCAGGAAAGAATAGATAATTGATAGCTTTGAATTTTATTATTATTAGTCTTAGTTTTATTATTATTAAACTTATTAGTATTAGTAAAAAAATTTTAACACATTACATTTTACTTTTATACTTAACATTATAATATTTTCTCTTTCTTTATTATTTCATTATTATTATTATACTTTGTTATACTTTTATTGCTACTGTACTGATAGAAATACTGTATTTCTAAAGATGCAATAAATATTATTATTATTATTCACCCCCCCCCCCTTCGCACACATGGTAGCTTAGCAACCAGGGAACTTCAGGAACCTCAAACAGGTCTATTGCTTAATCGTATCGTTTATCGTACTGTATTCAATTTGCATGTGCACGTTTGAAAAATATTGGTGTCATTTTAACCCCTAGCTAATAGAAATGAGTAACCCTATCCATGTTATTATATTTTTCAGCACACCAATAGTAAGATTAGGTTTTATAAATTTTCTCCTGTATCTTAAATTTTCAGAGTCAGAGATCAATGAATAGGCAAAAATTCTTACAAGGAAGTCGACGAACATTGCGACCTCAAAACAAAGTGAATGATATTGATACTGCAATTTCAGCTGGTACAAGTGGTGCAGCGAATGGTTCAAAGAAAGCTTTGAATTCCAAAGAAAGTATTGAAATGGGTGGTATAAATAATGATAAAGTACCATTAATAAAAGTGGATAAACATGATAAAGGAGCTTCACTTAAAGATTTGGGTGATATTGAATTTGAGGTAAACTTAAGTTCTTGTTTCTTTTAGTGGGATACTATCTAGACTCTATATTTGATGGCTTGGAAAGACACAAGGCAGTTTCAAATCATCTCAACATGTTACTGCAGATTTATCCAGTGCATCATGGGAGATAAGCTTCCATTGTATATAATGGAAAACTGTTATCACCCTGGAAACACACTAAATTATATACAGATTTTTCATCCCATGTCACTGTAGAAACCAAAGTAAAAATTAAAATTTTTATAACTATTCAAGAAATTCAGACTCTTGTTTTTAAAAAAATTGTTCGATGACCCCACTATTTTTTGCTATTTTTAGTGTCCTGATGGATTGAATCAATAATAATGAAAGTATGACAAACGTGACATAATTTTCAGTTTGGCTCCAATTTTCTTAATTTACCAAAAACAAATCTGTAATAATTTGAGATTATCAGGCGTATTTGAGATAAGTATCACTGCTGGCAAATAATAAAGTTGATGGTCAATGTGTTTTCTCATCTATATAGGAACATCTTTTGTTATGTTTATTTTAATATTATTTTAATCTTATATGCTATTACACAAAAATATCATGCTGCCACACACACATACAAACGAATCATGCAGTTAACAAGTCAACATCACTTGGATGGCTGGTTTCTAAAATTTATTGACAAATACAGTACATTTTATAAATTGTGAAATGCCTATGACTCTCCATATGCAGGATCTTCCACCAGAAGTTCAAAAATTAATAGAAGAAGCTGAAGCGGATGATTTGGAATTCAAAGATGATGGATTCATTGAGTTAGTGTTAAGAATATTAGGACAGATGTGTGATGGACAACATTCATATTTACAGGTATTCTATCCATTTTTCATTTTTACTGGAATTAATCTTTACTGACAAATTTTCTCATCATATACAACTTGTGTAAAAATCATTGTTTTCCTAAACTAAATCATGTGCTGCATGACTACTTTGGTGCTTCAATTATGTATGCAATAAAGACAATCTTTATTTCTAGAGTGTAACATTACTTATAAAATCGTAGGCACGCAAAATGCAGAAGTTTTTCTTAAAATAATGAAGCATGACTTTGTCCTCTACAAATTTTTGAAAAATACATTATTCAATGTAATTATATAAATAATCCATGAAAGGGTCAATGTCTTTTCTATGCAATGTCAGTTTTAGTATTTTATACTTTATTTTTTCTATTTTCTCCTCTTAATGTTTTACTTTTATTTAGTTAGTTTTATTATTTTAGTCTTTTGTTATTTTTACCATACTAAACCCCCTGATGGTTTTGGTTGTGTAATAAAGTTATTATTTAATTTTGGGCTAGTTGTTGAAACCCTCCTGAACAAGATTACACCTACATACCTGCAGAATATATAAATTTGGTTATTCAGAATTGTTTTTCTTGATTTTAGCTGTTTTCACCGGCACTTTGACCAGTGTTCCACAGCAGCTTACATAGAGCAAATACATCGTACCACAGTGCCCATCTTAGCATCATCAGTTCTGTGATGCAGCTATGCCCAGAGAATATGCTGAAATGTAATATTCCTTTCTTGATTTCAGAATTACCTACGTGAACAACCTGATAACATCAAGAGCGTTAACCTAGTGGCAGAGACAGCTAGATTTCTTGATCTACTGTATTCTAATATTGACGATTCAAGTATTGCACTTGTTGAAGAACTCTTTACAACACTTAATGAATTTGCATCGGTGAGCCACACATCATAACTTGTTGTAATATTGTTACTGGCTGTTAAGCTTGTAGTCAGTTGAATTGTGATTATCAATAGCACTATGTCAGCAGTGGTTGTAAGTTTCTCAAAGCTTAAGATTGTATCAATCATACCAAAAAGGACAAATAATGTCTCGCGACTGGGATTCATTTTGTCGTATTTGGAGCCCCTGTGACAATGGAATATTTATAATAAAATAATTGGAAGTAACCTTTATTTTGTAGGGTAACCATGCCAACGCAATGGTAATATTTGACAACAAGATAATAGAATATATTAATTATATTCTACGTGACACCAATATGGCTAGTAAGATAGTACTGGAGGACAACAAACAATTTGTAAGTATACAAATTTATTCATATTTTTCGTAACAGACCTTTCTCTACTAACTACCTAAAAAAGCAGAAAAGTTAAAAATTTTCCAGATTATTGATGTTATGTGAATTTTGCTATCAGTTTACAGACAATGCAAAAAAAAGTTTGTGCGTTGGTGGTGTTTGATTATCTGATAATATTAAGCCCTTGTCTGGCAGCCATTTTAAAACAAAAAAAATTGTCAAAATGCATACAATTTAAATTCATAATTTAAAAACTATTTTGGGTACCTATTGATTCAGCAATTAATTATTAGAATTTAAGGAAATTCATGTTGAGAGATTGTGTTAGCTATGGCATCCACACCAGCAGATGCACTAGTAGAATTTTGTGCATAACACAAGCCATAATAAGCAATTGCTACTGTACGCTAGAACAATGGATAACTGAATCGCACACACACACAAATTGTTCGGCAGAAAGGAGGTACTTTAATACATCAGGGAACCAAAAACTGAAGTGAACTGAGAATCTGCTGCCACTAGGTGGCGCTATACACAGAATCTAATAAACTAGCTACATGGTGATACAACACAGTATACTGAACAGGCAAGGCTAGACATGTGCAGCAATACAACAAATTTAACCTGATGCCACCATGAACCTAACACATGCTGATATCCTATTAAAATAATGAACTTCTTTCAGTGCCATTTTTGATTCTAATAATATATGCCACTGTGGGTCATTCATTATTTTAACTATATTTAAATAGTTGTTTATTGTATAATGATTACAGCTCTTTCTATTCTTTCCATAGCTTCACCAATTGAGGTTGTCTATTGCTAATCTAATTATGTCAATGATAGAAGAAAATAGTGCTGAAAGCACATTGTTGGCAGAAGAAGTCAAAGAAACCATAGATGAAGATGCAATACATGAAATAATGCTCGATTATTATAGAAAAGCAAAAGCGGTAAGAAACATTATCTTAGTATAAAAATAAAAACCTCATCATTGTATTGAGGTTTAATATTGTAATTTTGACATCAAGATCACAGAAATTGACCATCGATATTAGTCTTCATTATTATTGACTTTATTGATGCACCGGTATATAAATGTAATGCCATAAATCCTATCATAGAAGTGTCGCTGGTAGCGTAGTGGTAGGATTGAACAGCAAAAAACAACAATCAATTCTGCCCTGGGTGAGTGTGACGTACACACACTCAAGACTAAATCCACTGACAAAGATTCATTAACAAAATAATGCAACTTAGGGGGAAAAATCATGGGAGCTGCGTATTGGTTACTGGTTTAAATTAGTCCCAGATATGCCCCAGATATTATATTTGTGTTTAAAGTTACATTTGGTTATATAATATTATTATTAAGAATCTTTTTAGTATTTTTAAAACATTTTACATTTGGTGAGTTTCCAGTGTTATAATAGTTATTCATTATATAGTAAGTTCTCTCTTATACGGAATTAGTTACAATGTAATACATAATGGAAGCCATCTTGGACTTCTAAGGTTATGTTTGATTATCCTTGAGTTCACTGTATTCAGAGAATCTATTTTATCTTTTATTCTAAACCAACAGGCTTCAGATAAGAGCACCAGAGAAGATTACACAGTAACTGGGTTTGCATATTATCATATTTTAATGAGATTACAGGATATAGATCCACAAATCAATAAAGAAAGTAAGAATTAATATCAACTTGAATCATGTATTTTGATTTATTATTTATTATGGGAAGGGGGAGCAGTGTCTTCTTGTCTCCTCTAGTATGAGTATGTCAATAAACACATTGTTGTTAAACCTAAACACACATACATAAACCGTATATAAAATTTTATTGACATTGAAAACTGTCATATATCTTGTTTATGGTGGAAATAAAGCATATTCTATTCTATTCTATTCTATATATCCTGGTTAAATCCTAATTTTGTTTTCTGGTTAGATTTGGTGAAAGTTAAAGACGATGATCCAAGTTATTCTATAGAATGTGATAAAGGATGGGAATTCTATGCAGCTAACTCAATGTCAGTTGAACTACTTAAAGATGGAGAAGTTCAGAAAGTACACTTCAGAGTTAATGATACTGTAAGTTTTGTTACTATTTGTTCTAAGTGAAAAAATGGCTTGTTGTTGATGTGAATTTCTTCAGACATACACTCAAGAGTATGCATGTTATCTGAATGCTTAATGTCATCACGCTTCTTATCGCTCTACCAATAACTATTCATGTAGTTGCAGTTCTCATTGCTTCTACCCTTAATCACCTCTGGTAGGTTCAGTTCCCACTGTTCTACTACCACCTCATCTACTAACCACTAACCACTAACAGTTCTCACTGCAGTAACCTTTGCAATATTTTGTAACTGTGTTTTGGGACTTGTAGTTTTTAATCTTGTTATTTGCTGTAAGTTTTCTACTTCTGCTTAGGGGGTTCACTGTGGTGCTTTCCATGTATACCGGTTTGCTTGCTACTGTTTTCTGGCTTGTATCCCAAAGTTGCTAACAGTGACCCCTCCGATTTGCCAAAAATAAATTTGTTTCTATTTTACTGTACAACTTCAAGTGTTGTGTCATAAATACTCAACAAGTATTTTACATGTATGTGAGGGTGCATCTTGATTGTACTTTATATAGTTTTGCTAAATGTTTATTTGTATCATGATGGATACTGTCAGATATCAAGGTTTCAATTAACATTAGGAATTTACAATTTGATTTGACTACAACAAATTACATCAATGATCTATGTGATTGTTTTTGAATGAAAACATACAAAAATGCGTATTTTGATTAGTAATCTTTTATTTTGTAGACTGTATTAAGAGAAGAAGTAAAAGAGAAAGTGAAGTGGAACATCAACAGAGAGTCACAGAGTGATAAGATTGTGGATTTTGTTGATTGGTCAAAAGATATCATGAGTGACATCAAGTACCAGACCAAAGTTTTATCGTACAAACCAGCCAAATTTTTTATCACCTTAACGTAAGTAGACATAACGTTCAAAATCTATTAGATTATAGATTTATTTATTCATCACCTATTATTAACTGATACAGAAATATTTTCTTAGATAGATTGATTTTGCTGACTTATGAAAGAAAATAGTCCCAAAATATTCAAATTTAATTTATTTTCATCATATATTGAAGTTAGTAAGATTGCATGTATGATATGTATTCAAATCTTCTTGAGTTGTTAAATAGTGTGATTACAAAAAAATTTGAAAAGAATGTAAGTTGTTTGGGTGTCTTTATTCAATAATTTTGTGTAGATCTTATGTAAATTATACATTTAATAAAAGTGCTGTTTTTTCATTGCAAACTGTACTTTATGTATTTTTTACAGGCCTTTGTGGAATTGGTCATTGTTACTATTGTCATTTGCAATCAATATTATCATAGTGGCAACATGGATTGCTCCAGCTGATACAAAAACGTAAGTTAAAAATAAATAAATTTACAATATTGTGAAAATCATGTTTGTTTGTGATTGTGGATGTACTAATTGTAATAATTTGTTTTCATTTATTTTTGCTTGGTAGAGTGAAACCTGACTTGCCTGCAACATACTGGGAAATAGTCCACTATGCATTAGGAGGATTACACAATTTACTATCTCTTTGTCTACTTTTAAGTTTCTTTCTTTCAAATCATCCAAGATTTCCAACTGGAAATGAAATTAAAAACTTTTTCAGGTTTGTATAATTTTATCATGATACATAATTTTGTTGTTACTGTATGTATATTATAATTGTCCAAGTGAGCAAGTTTGGCAGCTTATGGAAAGTAGAATATTATAAGATATCAATACCAACATAGGTTTTAGGAAAAAGTTTATTTTAGATGAAAGTTTATTCATGACATAGCTTAATACAGGGCTCAAAACTAACAGCAGCCCAAGCCACACAGACTACCAATTCCTTCAAAATTAATAACTAATTTGTCTCTAAATTATGGGTGTCCAGCAAAAATTGGTCAAAATGTATTTAATATTTATTTTTATTGATACTTTTCTGCATGGCTGTTAGTACCTAATAAACCTGATAGACTACCCAATAATATCATAATAATACCATGGGAGTACTAGCTGTACTTTTAAATAGAGTAACAAATTAAAGTTTTTGCCTTTTACTAATACATGGCAATATATGACCTCATTTAAGATCACCCTTGTGTCCACTCAAAATGAAGTCGAATATTTGATTTTTACAAAAGACATTTGTGAAAATTAAATATCATAATTCCAATTTTATACTATAAAATTTAGTATAGATAGCTGATTCATTTCCAGAATTGGTCTTTGCTACATGCTAAATTGTTACTCTTGTCATTTTCCTTTAGACATCTGTTTGGTAAAGAAGTCCATGAAGAGAGACAGTCTAACTTGGAGACAAAGTTCTTCAGTTTTACCACCTTTTACTACATTGTAAGTACATGGAACAGATCTTCTCTCCTTTGAAGCATCCCTTATGCTTTTGTAGTAATTCAGATGGTATAATAATGTATATTTTTATTTTTTAGGTGTTTTTCGGATTCTCCATTGCTGGTACATTTCTCTATGGATACTTTTTTTGTTTCCATTTACTTCACATTGTGATTATGAATCAGCTTTTGAACAGAGTGTTATTGGCTGTCACACTCAACGGTAAATATCATGTAGCTTTTCTATATTGTTTATATCTTATTCTATAATGTTGGAGCATAACATTTCATTTGCGAAAACCAAGATTTGGAGTAGAGTACATTATGTTTTTTGTTTGTATTCATTATGTGAAAATAAATAAAAAAATTGGAGCATGACTTATTCGATGATTTTGGCATGTAACAATTCATTAGTAAAAACCAGGTTTTGGAGTAGGACTGTGTCAATTCTATAATATTTTAAACTACCAGAGTTATAACTTGATATATACTGTAACATGCTTTGATTGTTACCTAACTAGTCAGTAAAAGTAGTGAAATACTGTCAATACTGTTAAAGCAGCAGACTGTCACGCCATATATGATTCAATCATTTGTATTTTAACTTTACAGGCAAATCACTACTCTGGGTTTTCCTGTTGGGTTTCATCATCATTTACATCTATGCAATTGTTGGATTTGCAGTTCTACGTAGTCATTTTGATACTGACTCGGGTCTCTACTGTGAAACCATGTTTCAATGTTTAGTGACATCTGTCAGGTTTGGACTTATTGATGGTCTGCAAGAGGTAAGAAGTTTTACTCTTACTCTGTCTTTGTTGTGTGTTTTCAAAAAAACATTTCTCATTATTTTATAAATTATTTATATAATGTATGAAAAACATGCTATGCCTGAGAATATAAATAATAAGAGCAGAAAATATTAATAACTTGGTATTGTTATTAGCATGGTACAAAATGTTATAAATTTACATTTAATTATAATTTACGTTCCCTGTTATTTTTATAATGTGCCATTCCTGGCTTTAAATTTTAAATAGGTAAACAATTTTGTTAGCAATGGAATTCAGATAAAAGTGCATGCCTTTGGACTTTATAAAAGATTATAAAATCTAGTTTGCATACCCCACTTTCAGTTGTACATTCTGTATGTTATTTTCCTATCTTTTTACAGTACTTGGCAATACCGGACACTGAAAACACTTTTCTGGCGTATGCATTACGTGCAATTTATGATATTACATTCTACATCCTGATCATTACCATTGGATTGAACATCATCTTTGGTATCATTGTTGATACATTCTCAGAACTCAGAGATGCTAAGGTAAGAATGATTCAACTCTCAACTTATTATCGTATAGTTTATGACGTCACAAGCCATTAGTTTGATAATTGGTATTTTACTACCTTAATTATAAAGTATATCAAAGCAGAGGGAAGTATATGAGTAGAACCTTAGGTAAAAGAATTTGCATCTTTTCTCTGCACTGACCAACCTTGTCTTGAGATTATGAATTGTGCCTGGGGAGGTGTGACAGGTAGTGTGAGTAATCGGCATTAACTAATAAACAATGGATGAGATGACAGCTGCTGGGCATTGGATTCAAACTGTATTGAAAGGCATCATAAAAACCACATTTCAAACTTGGCACTATAACAATCATACTATGGATTTGTACAATACAAGCACCTTTATAGAAACTTAAACCAAAAATCTTGACATTCAGTTGTAAATATATCTCAGGCAGTGAGTGGGTTTGAGTCTGCATTCCATTTACAATGACTTGTTTGTTTTTCCATTTCAGTGGAGGACAGATGAAGACATGAGAACATTGTGCTTCATTTGTGGGCGTGGCAGCTATGATTTTGAACACCATGGGAAAGGCTTTCGACATCATGTAAAATTTGAGCACAATATGTGGTCTTATCTCTTCTTCTTCATTCATTTGGATGATACCAGGTCAAATGACTACACAGCAATTGAACTCTATGTGTCAAATATGGTAAGGTTACCTATTCATTCAATTTTCACTTCATATATCATGGGCATATTTTCTCAAATTTATTTTCTTAATTTTATTTTCCTATTTTCTGACTGCTAACACCCAAACATCTGTGCAACCTCCATAGAAGATTTCATTAGTCAGATCTCAAAAAAAAATTCAATCTGGTTTTAATCAGATTGGTGTTTGTCTGTTGCATATTTTTGATTTCATTTATTGTCATCTTACAATTTATAACAACTTTAATGTATATGTTGATTGAATACTGCTTGTTGACAGATGTAATCAATGGATAATGATTTATTACAAACTAAAACATTGTGTTAATAATGCAACGAATAGAATTCATTTGTTACCAGTACCTTCATATAAATTATTCAATTTTTAACCACATAGAGTTTTTCTAACATGCTTTACTCTAGTGTGTGCATATCAACCTGCAATAATTTAAGATTATATTATAAAAATAATCATTGTTACTTTTATAGTTAAAAGAAGAAAATCATGAATTCTTCCCAGTGAATCGTGCATTGTGCCTTAGTAATGATGATGAAGATTATGATACTAAAATAGATATGTTGATGGCAAGAGTAGATCAGATGATCAGGAGAAACAGAGAAGAGGTTGGTTTATGTAATTCCATTCTTAAACTGTATTTTATTGTTAATAATAACTTTGTGTGATTGTGTTTTGTCAAATTCTGCTTATTGCTTATCAGGGAATAGTTGGTAAAAGCTTACCTAGAAATAGTTGGTGGCTACTTACCAGGGAATAGTTACCGATAATAGCTGCTTACCAAGGAATAGTTAGTAGCTACTTAACTTACCAGGAAATAGTTACCGGTAGTAGCTGCTTACCAAGGAATAGTTAGTAGCTACTTAACTTACCAGGGAATAGTTGGTTGCTACTTACCAAAGAATAGTTGTTAGCTGCTTACCAAAGAATACATGTAGTTGTTGGCTACTTACCAGGGAATAGTTGGTTGCTACTTACCAGAGAATAGTTGTTAGCTGCTTACCAAAGAATACATGTAGTTGTTGGCTGCTTACCAGGGAATAGTTGGTTGCTACTTACCAGAGAATAGTTGTTAGCTGCTTACCAAAGAATAGTTGTTAGCTGCTTACCAGAGAATAGTTGTTGGCTACTTACCAGAGAATAGTTGGTAGCTGGTTATCTTCTACAGAAACATGTAGTAAGCACGTCTTTGCAACCTGTTTCACTTTACTTTGCAATATATCCTTAACAATGCTGAGGTTCAAATATAATAATTTACTTATTAAAACAAAATAAAAACAAGGTAGATATGTCTATAAATATCTATGATTTTTGCATATTGTAATTGGATTTGTTGTGCAACTCTTCATGACCATGAAGTTTCGTACAGCAGAAAACAAATATGATTCCATGAAAACTTGAAATATCTCCTCAAATGCCTAGTCAAAATAAGTTATGGGTATATAGCACATTGCTAATCACTTTACAATCAATTATTGCTGTTCTCTTACATCTCTGTAACAACTCTCATAGTCTTATTCTCTTAGACCTATCCCTGCACTTATTGAGGCCTGTTTTACTCACATCACCATTTATGTTGACAGGACGCTAATCGTCGTCGTGATGAACTAAGACAGAAACAGATACAATGGGAGAAAGAACACCGTGGATAATTGGAACTGCCAACATCTATTCCTCTGTATTGTTTACAGGTACACTTCTCTTCCATTCAACAGCTGTGGCAGATGGTTATTTACCCATGTTAACCCATGTGATAACAGTGCTATATTCTTACCTGCATGTCTTCCTGAAAACTAACAAATATCTTGTAACTGTCACAGTCTTCTTTGCACAATTCACAGTATTATCTTGTTTAATTAACACTAAAAAATTATGTCATCTGTAGCTCTAACAATATTGCTACATCATGAGTGCTATGTGTACTTAAAATGATTACTTTATGTGTGTACCGGGTAATAGGTGTGTCCATAGATTTTAGGATGTGGTTGTATTACCTTGTCTGTATCATCATGGAAAATGTCTGTCCTTGTTTTTGTTGGTGACTCCATACTAAAACCATTTTAGTTTCTGTTTGGACAAAGTCACAAAATGGGAACTTGGATTAACGTTCATCGGTATCCATGCAACCAAAAATTTGCTGAAATAAAACATTACTTTAGACATAGAAATAAGTGGACGGATTGAAGATATTCAACTGCTGATGATGTGAACCAGATGCTAGTAATTATTTCCAAGATTTGTCAATTAGTTAAGTTCAGTAAACAACTGTCCAGTTCAAGATACTCATAAAAGATATGGATGATCCATTTAATTCCTTCTAAATTTAAATACAATCAGGTGTGAATCGTTGTAGAAGTCTTAGACTAATTTTTTTGAGAAATGATGTAAATTATTACTTTATACATCTGCCACCAGAATGCCATTTGCGATATTACACTGAGTATTTGCATCCTACCATATTAGGAAATGCAAATTCCAAATATGGAACAATTATGCGCATAAGCGTCATCTAATACTAAAAACACAACATGGCAGCCCCAGAAAACTTTATTTGTAAATTTCACGAAAAAGCATGGAAACTTTTTGGATTTTTCAGCTTTAAGACTTTGTATTCACTGTGTTTGCAAATATGTGTTCTACCCTTAGTCATCTTTGTCAGCATATTCACTCACATTACAGCTGTCATACAAGAACATTATAGAACAGTTACGGAAGGAGTAACTAAAAGAATTACCTGAGATGTGTAAATTATATCCTTAGATCTTTTGCCAGCGTGTTAACAGAGTATATAAATTGTATTTTTTGTGGATCCAATACTCGACTCATTTACAGTGTGTATAATGATTGTCAAGTGTGATCTCCCCCCTGACTTTCAGTTAGATTTGTGTTGCTGCAGCCAGGAGTTAATACTAAAGACAACTGCTTTTAAAACAAATGTACTCAGTTCACTACTCAATTTAGAACTATACTAGTTATAGATGTATTGTCAAAAATAAAAAATATGGTTACATTTTTTTTATCTGTATATCATACAAAAAAACAATTATTATTGCCTCAGATGGTTGTGTTATTGCACAAAAACAAATACGTGTAAATTTGATTTCTCAACTCTAGGGGCACTTTAAAATGTCGTGATTACAGAATAGGACAAATATTTTGTTAATAGTTTGTATAAATATAATGCCTGAGATTATTTCTGCACAAAAATTAATGCATGTTAAACTTAGCTTGTCACATCAATCAAAGTAGTACTGTAAGCATTTTACAAATAGAGGCATTGTGTCAACAGTGGTTCTGTTAGTCACTTCTATTTATACTTATTTTTGCAGGATAAAATGAAAAAGAAACAGGAGCTGGCACAGAAAGATAAACAGAAACAACAACAGTGGGCTCAAATGATGCAACGAGCTACAACTGCGAAAGGAAGAAGTAGAGTACCTCAAGACTGATGAGAACCTCATTTGTGCTATTTTTAGAATATTTGCTGAATTCAGTTGACATACATGTATTGTAGTGCCTAATTTTATTTGTGATTATATGTATCAATATTTTTATTCAAATTATCCTGTTTGTTGTGAATAATATTGAGAAATTAGTTAATATAATCAGAAATGTCTACATTTGACCAGGGAAGAGCATAAATTGAAAATAGATTTTTTTTTCATTGTAACATGCTAACAGTGATCATGATCATTCATAATCCATCCATTTTTTATATATTAACTTTTTATAGGATTATTTTTTTGCTCAATTAGAAATGCATCTTAAAATCACTGATATTTCAGATTTCAGCCTTGTAAATGAAGTCTTGGTGGAAAATCTAAATATTGTGTTCACTTTCTGTGATATTTTCTGCCTTTATTTCAAAACTTAAACTTGTCCGTCCCAATGAAGTAAGATTTATAATCTTTAATTTATTTTCAAGGCTTGTTCACTGACACTTTGTTCTCAATCTTGTATATTTTAGATTTAATTTATTAAAATTACCTCAAATGTTATTTTTACATTTGTTTTTCCGGAATTAGCTTTGCCTTCATTAATTGTCACATGTCTTGCATTTACTTTTTGTATATCCATGATGTAACTGACATCAGTAGGGGGTCAGGAATGTATTGTACATATCATACATAGTACAACCTTTAATATGGACCAGACTGTTTGGTTTATATGACTGTTTGGTCTACAAATTATATATACAGGTTATTTCTATATTATTCTGTTCTACATAGCTTATCACAGATTATAAGGCCACACATTAGCTAAACTTTGAATTTAATTTCACATCATCTAGGCTTGGCTAATATCTAGCATCCTGTAGGGTATTAAAATGTATGGCATATACTGTAATTACTGACTGACTTTGCTAGATCCCTTACCTTCAAAACCACAGTAAATGTACATTTTAGTTATTTTGATCACAAAAACTAACAAACAAACATGTCACTTTCCAACCTAGCACAGTCCAGTCCTCAATTGATCATAAAATAACAATTCTTAATTTTTAATATTTCATGTGTAATGCTGCAATTACTTATCCAGACCTGGGTATTTTATCCTTGTTGTTACATATTTTGTATATTGATGAAAAGGGATTTTACTCGCTGTATATTTTTTTAAAAGATTTGTATTCACAGATTTGTATTGTATTCCTTATACTTTTAGAGTAAATATTATTTTATACATGAATGTTGATGTGTAAACAATTGTAATTAGCCAAGATATTTATACAGAAAAAATAAAATTGACTATGGTCATTTTTGTCCCCAAAACACCAAAAAATTGACTTTTGAACATGTCATCAATTGTTTTGTGTTATGCATAGACCCATTAATTCAAATTTAATACTGACATCTCTCATGATGCATGTCAATTTTTTCTGAAAGAATTGGCCGAATGTCTGCCATTTGTTTTGTTTTTAGGTACATTTAAAAGATTTTGTTTAAATTTAGTACAAAATGCATGACATAATGAGTTACATGTTTGCTGCAATAATTTATGATGATTTTATTCATAATTGGAATGAACATCTCGCACAATCTGTCAATGATGCACATTGATTGTGATTTGAGTCACAATGGCTGACTGACAGCCATGCTGTGATAAGACTTTTCAAGCAACTTTTTCATCGTTCAAAGTAATGTTATGTAGACAGCTTTTTTGCTTTCCAAGTCAACTCAAAAAGTTGTATTATTCAAATGACATTCAAAAGTTTCTTGCCCAAAATGTGATTCAAAACTAACATTGAGTTTGCAGACCTCAAATTTTCTAGTCTTTAAAACCTCCCAAATTTTGCATATGACTATCTGAATTTTTCAGGAAAGGTTCCTGAAATTACTTTTTTTCACCTGTCGGGTTTAAACTTTGCAAACGACTGCCGTGAATACTTTGAGCAACTTTTCTGCCTTTCAAACAGTCTCCCCAAACTTTGCAGATGACTATTCATACTTTCAGCCAAATTTCTAGTCTTCAAAGGAAGGTTTCTAAACATTACAGATGGCTTTTATTCCAAAACAATTTTGAACGTTGTAGACTGAACCTTTCAGGCAAACTTTAATGCTTCTCTATTTAGCAACTTTCTTGACTTCCAAAACAACTCACAGATAATTCTTTTTTTCTTTTCAAGCAACTCTCTCACCTTTCAATACAAGGCTACTTTATGAATTTTGCTTTTTTGACTATTCAAGCAACAGTTTTGTTTGTTAGATGCCTTTGGGTCTTTTCAGGAACCTTTGAGGACCACTTCCTTTGCTTCAAAAGCAACCATTTGGCCCTCAAATATGACATTTCAAATGTTTCAGAATGCCTTTGTGAAATTTTAGGCAATTTTAACACCTTTTCCAAGCAACTTTTCCACTTTACATAGCAAATTTTTGAGTGACTTTCTAAACTTTTCCAAGGCTTTTGTGATATTTCGGCTACTTATTTTATTCTCTGAACTTTTCAGCAAACTTTTAAGACAAATTTCCAAATATTGCAAATGGCTCACTTTACAGGTAGTAACTTTTGTTGCATTTTTTGGTTTTTAGGCTACTCTCACGTCTTCCAATGCAACTCTTTTAACTTTGCAAATCACTTTGCTGACTTTTCAGGCAATTTTTTTACATTCAAAATGACTTTCCTGCATTTCAAGTGAGTTGTGCAGATGACTTTAACGACAATTCAAGATTTTTACGACTGTTAAAGGCTTCTCTCTGAACTTTGTAGACCGCTGTCAAGAATTTTCAAGCAACTTTTCAAACTTTGCAGAATACTTTGGTAACTTTTCAAGCAACTTCCTTGCCTTCCAAATTGGCTCCCGACTTCAAATGGCTTTCTTGATTTTTCAGACAAAAGTTCCGCCTTTTAAAGCGACTTCTTGAAGATTGTAGTTTACCTATGGGGCTTTTTTTTATAGGCAATTTTGTTATAACCTTTCAGGCAACTCTCCTAATTTTCAAAGCAAAATTCTTAAATTTACAGATGACTTTAATGATTTTGAAATAATTTTACCACCTTCCACAAGCGATTTTTGATCTTTACAGACAGACAGCTTTCTTTACTTTCTTTGCATTCCATTTGTTCCCGAGTATTTCAAGACTTTCAATATTCAGCTTTCCAATGAGATTGTAGACGTTTAGGTTACTTTCTAGCCTTGTCTTTAAGACTTTTGGGGCTGCTTTTTCGCCCTTTTAAGCAAATTTTTGAATGTTGCAGTCTGCCTTTCAGATTATTCAGGTTACATTAACGCCTTCAAATGCAACTCTTTGAACTTTTATGACGGCTTTCACGATCTTTTAGTCAAGGGCAGGAACTTTATTGCCTCCAATCTACTTTTCGAATGATACAGATTTCCATTGCGACCTCCAAACTTTACAGACAGTTTTTGGACATACAGGTCATTCATCGCCTTCAGAGACTCTCCGAAGTGTCCATACGGCTTTCAGGACTCTTCTGACAACAATGTCAATATCAACTTTTTGAACATTAGAAATGGCTTCTGGGTCTTTCTAAGCAACCAATCCCACTTTCGAAAACTATCAAATTAATTTGACTGCCTATGTGTGTGACTTTTCAGGTAACTTTTCTGATATCCAGGGCAACTATATGAACCAAGCAGACAGCTTTTGAGACTTTTTCACAACTTCTTCTACTAAACCGGCTACTTTCAGGACTTTTCAGGCATCGTTTTAGCTTTTCACAGCAAATTTGCAGACTGCCTTTGTGACTCTTGGTTTTTTTTCACGCCTTCCACCAACACAACTTTGTCAGTCTTTACATGCAACTGTCTCACCACCCAAAACTTATTAGTCTTATAATTCGATCTCTGTCCATGTGTCCGTCCGGAGTCAGAATCCCTAGGACCAATTCCGTTCATTCTTCACATGTTCCTAGTACTTTATGTGGGACATATGCACATGCAGTGGTTTAGCGATTCGATTCAAAATGGCCGACTGGCAGCCATCTTGCTTTTTGAAAATGTTGTATTTAGGACATGCTTTGTCAGTTTTCATTCAAACTTGGTACATAGATTATACATGTTAGGATACATGTCCATGACGATTTATTTCGCAATTGGATCAAAGATGGTCGACTGGCAGGCATTTTGTTTTTTATGCGGTATCTTGGAAATGCTCTGTCAGTTTTCATTCAAATTTGGCACATACATCATACATATCAGTGTGTTTCATAATCAGATCAATACATGTTAGGATGCATGTCCATGATAATTTGTTTCAAAATCTGGTCAAGAATGGCCGATTGACAGCCATCTGACTTTTTGGCCTTACTACTATATTTCCACAATTTATGTACCATTTTCATTCGTATTTGGCACATACATCATACATATCAGTGTGTTTCATAATCAGATCAAAGATGGCCGAATAACGGCTGTTTTTATTTTTGGCCATATTACTACTACAATGGAACACGTGTTTTGATTTAATAAACAATATGTTGTATACGCCACTTGGAACTCAAGTTTCAAGGACACGCTCGCAACAACCCCTCCGCTTTAATATGACTAGCACAAAGAGAACTTTCAAAAAATTAACGGGGACTGTGTCATTTTCAATTACTTGTCTCTACTGTCTTTACTTTACTAATTTGGAAAAAAGTTTCAGATACCTACCATCTCGCATTTAAAGTTGCATCCCAATCTAACCAGTGGTTAATTTAGGTAATATAAAAAGAATGAGAAAGCTGCTACGACCAAGAATATAATGAATATAAACGTAGTAGGTAAGTAGGTGAGTAGGTGATTGCAATATATGAACGTATTTGTCAATAGCCTCCTTAAGTGTTAAATCTGAGTACATTGCCTTAAACTTTTTATATAAAGGTGGTCAGATAATATCATAGACGGGCACATAAGTAGGAAATATCACATCATGGGCATATGTACTACAGGGATCACAGCATAAGATGGGCAGAAGGACTACAAAGATCACATCATAAGATGGGTAGATGGACTACAAAGTTCACAACATTAGATGGGTAGATGGACAACAAAATCCACAGTATAAGATGGGTAGATGGACTACAAAGACCACAGCATAAGATGGGTAGATGGACTATAAAGTCCACAGCATAAGATGGGTAGATGGACTATAAAGTCCACAGCATAAAATGGGTAGATGGACTATAAAGTCCACAGCATAAGATGGGTAGATGGACTATAAAGACCACAACATAAAATAGGTAGATGGACTATAAAATCCACAGCATAAGATGGGTAGATGGACTATAAAGACCACAGCATAAGATGGGTAGATGGACTATAAAGACCACAGCATAAAATGGGTAGATGGACTATAAAGACCACAGCATAAGATGGGTAGATGGACTATAAAGTCCACAGCTTAAGATGGGTAGATGGACTATAAAGACCACAACATAAGATGGGTAGATAGGCTATAAAGTCCACAGCATAAGATGGGTAGTTGGACTATAAAGACCACAGCTTAAGATGGGCAGATGGACTATAAAGACCACAGCATAAGATGGGTAGATGGACTATAAGTCCACAGCATAAGATGGGTAGATGGACTATAAAGACCACAGCATAAGATGGGTAGATGGTCTATAAAGACCACAGCATAAGATGGGTAGATGGATTATAAAGACCACAGCATAAGATTGGTAGATGGATTATAACGACCACAGCATAAGATGGGTAGGTGGAGTACAAATATTACAGCATTAGATTGGTAGATGGACTTCAAGGATCACACCATGAGATGGGTAGATGAACAAGAACGATCACAGAGTAAGATTGGTAGGCGGAGTTACAGCATAAATAGTGTGTGTGGAGCGCTGGTAAAATTAAGTTGACTATAAAGTGAACATTATATTGTAGTATTGTGTTACAAAGGCAGTCATTGTTATTTATTTATTTATTTATTTATTTATTATTTGGGAAGATAGCCACTAATTCACTGTAACTATTATTATATATCAGTATTGATAGATAGACAGCAATTAGATAATATAACTATTATTCCATGTACTAGTGAAACAAGACATTCAAGGCTAAAATACTTATGCACACTAGTACTTTATGTAAACAAAAGCACATGTTCAAGTTTCAGGGTCATTACCATTAAGTGTATTATCAATAACAGGATGTGGAGGTAATTAGTAGATAGGAGGCATTTAAGTCAGTCACACCCCCAGACAGACTAGCAAGGGATTAATATATGTTCTAGCAGGTCTCTCCTACTCCACTACGTGATCCATATGTACTTCATTGAATAAACTATAAATACCACAGCATAAGATGGGTAGATGAACCCAACTATTATACACTTGTACTCAAAACCATCTCCGTGTACCTGTAGTGAAGAGTGTAGTAACATTTCTGGGGGCTCGTCCGGGAAACCGATTCAATGAGAAATAACCAGTAATATTCCTGAAAATTTGGAGGTGAACTCAACTGACCATAGAATTTTAGCCAAGTGAGTGGGCTGCCAGTGCAGTAAAGTGGGCATTCCAAGAACACATAGTAAAGATAACTGTGAGTAGATATTCTTTTCAAACATCCATCATGTCTAGTCCAGCAGTGGAAGAAACTCTACTGGCGGTTAGTGCACAGTTATATACTCTAGACATTGACAATTTGATCGTGGTATTTGACCAGTTGATAGTGATAGGGGAAACACCAGGAAAGAAGTGAAGAGTGTAACATTTGGACTACAAAGATCACAGTATAAGATTGATAAGTTGGGTAGATGGACTACACTAAAAGAAGTATGGAACTCACTCAAACAGAAAGTCATTCTTGTAAGTCACTCTAAAAAACAATTAACAAGAATTCAAAATCAGGTGCAATGTAAATTGTTTATTAGTAAAGCAACACAGAAAAAAAGTTATCAATGCTGTTAATTTATGTTCAACGATTTGACCCAAATATTTAATAAGTCAACACTTTTATTAATTTGTTTATCATGAACATCCACACAATTTCCCATTTGACCTGATTAAATTAGTAAAATGTTAAAACCATGACTGCACATGCTTTTTTATTTTGCTGAGTATTTTACTTGCAGAGTCTTAACTACAACACTATGAAGATTCCAAATGGATCTATATACACTTTAAATATCATTAAAAATACAGTTTTTAGAAGATCAACCCTAAAATCTTTACAGGTCAACTATACCAACAGAATACCCTTAAATTACAAATGAGTGTCATCAATAAATTACAGGACACTCGTCTTAAGCGTGCAGTTTCACCAGGGGCGGTGATTCAATAACAAAAGAACGAGCATAGTATTGAGTACAATGCGTGTTTATATTGCAAATAAAGTGCCTAGTAAAAGGTTACCAAACATTATTAGTTGAACGTTTACTATACCATTTTTAGCAGATATATAAATATTAGTAAATGCTGAATATTTGAAAAACAAATAACGCATCATATTTTACTATATTTAAAAGGCCAAACGTAATTAAAGTTTATTCATTCACGTTAAGTAGATGTATTACAGATTAAATAATGCGTAATTCATAAGATGATGTTATGATATCATTGCATTCACAATTATAGATGCAATATGTTTACTCTTAAGCAACGGCGTAACACTTTTTATATTTTTTTATTATCCGAGTGAAAGATGCTTGGATGAAAACACTTTCAACAACAACTATTAAAACTCGTGAAGTATAAATGCAGAGTCCATTAGCAAATAAATTATAAAATGTACTTCCCCTCAGCAAGCAATGCTCACAAATGATATCACAGTATATAGTATATCGATGTGAGAAAATATAAATAACTAACACATCCAACTGGAATCCACTAAACGAAGTTTGCCGATTGGATCAGTCGTAAATATCTCAATTTATGTTATGAATTGAGATTATGTCTTGATTATATATTCCGTCACCATAATTTCAAACCGCAAAAGTTGTAAAAACATTACTCCACATCAAGCATATTGCCGTATTTCATCTTCTTTCCTGCAAATGAAAAAAGCGAGTAACATATAATAAGTATAAGTTGGCCTACTATTAATTTGCTAATATGTCTTTGTAGATGGATATGTACAAATAATAGCTATATGTAATACCAGCAGTGTGCAATGTACGTATTTGTCACAGAAACCGTTCAAGGTGTGTTTTTCTTGAGTATGTGAAGCATGTTGATTCATGCATTGAAAAAGTCGATTCCCAAGTACAACTAACCTCTTTATTAATTCAATGTAACCGACACAGTTAGTGTTGTAATGTTTCAATATTGTTTAGGCATAATGCACGGTTGACAGGGAAGAATCCATAATCAGGCACCTCCAACTGAAAATAAAAGTTGTACTAATTATTAATAATTCTAACAAGAGACAAAGTGACACTGATATTAATGGTGGTGAAAGGGATGGAGATGTTGGGTTGACGCACATACCAATCATTCTAATCGACCTCACGATTTTGAATGAAGCAAACATCCGGGCTTTTATGTAAATTTAGCTGTGGTCGATTTTTCAGATGTCTAACGTGTTTACGCTACCACATGTGTAACCATGGTGTTTGATAATTTGTTATATAACACGCAATGAGCATTTACAAACCCGTGATGGGTTAGTTTCTACCCCTGTGTTTACGTATCAATATGCCCGCTACAGGATTATCCTCGCAATGTGAGGTATCAGCTGCCAATTATAGTATAGTATAGTGTAGTATATTTTATTTGACTCAAATTAATGAATTGGAAATACATTAACCATGGTCAATAATCATACACACAAAAAAACACAATAACAAGAAATACAGATATAAAAAATAAAATAAAATGTTAAAAACAGATAACACTAACAACTGTTAGGTATTACATTGTAAAATTATGTTAATATAAAATGTAGTTAGCTTATTAGGTTTAATTTTAGCAACGTGGCATTCATTTAATGCAAACACAATTGAGCTTAATTATGACGTGGGGGTTTATACCTACAAATCCCATGTTGCACAACACAATTAGCGCAGTTGCTCGCACTGTAAAATGAATATTATATTTTGGTAAAATGCCAGAAAAAATAAAGAAAATACCACACCAATGAACAGCGATGTATACATCCAACCATCATACCACATGCCTCAAACCCTAAAACGTCTGACAAAATGAAACAAAAGCAAATGACAATAAATATCACGACTAACTACCAATCATTTTGTAACATAATTTTTGGACAATTTGAAAGTTACGCAGTGTTAATAAGTGGAGTCAATTCAGTGCGACCATTAATGTTTTGTCGATGGACAGTGTAAATAGTAATGGTAACGAACAACAGAGCGGGATTACAGGACAGGTTGAGAGTGCCACACAATCTTTGCAGTGTGATCATGAACACGCAATATCATGTACCAAAACCTGGATCGACGACACACAGAAAACTACGAATTTGGACAGAAAGCAATATATTAGATGAGCACGAAACTTTTAGGCACCTGTGAAAGTGACCATGTGATTATTGGAAACTACCGTAGTTAAGGTGGGTTACCTGAATCTAACATTAGTTCATAGGACAGAAGATGACCAACAAGAGACAGACATATCGTGCTCATGGTGCAAAAGAAATAACAGAAATAGAATAGAACATTAAAAAATTAAGACATCATGATATCGGACACCAGCCACCATGAAGTAAGGAGAAAACTGTCACAACTGTATCAACATACTTGCATCACAACAAGTAATTAAAAGCAATAGCACATCCTATGAAAAAGAAGACGGACCTCACAACGCTGTCATTTGTTTTCTAAAACAACGTTGAGGACACTCGAAAATTATTAGCAGTTAGTTATTTATTTAATTAAATGCGTGAACGTTGACCAAACGAAGAAACATTTTTATGTACAAACATTGTGAGTGACCATCGTGGACGTGAAAAATATCTAATTACAGATTAAGGATATTGGATACAAGTTGTCTAGATTACAGTGAATCGTCGAGGTAATTGTCCGTTGCAGTTTCGAATTTCCATCTACATTACATTAATATAATAATCCAACTACTATCTAACTAATCTATCTACGTTTTAAAAAAATATAAAACGCTTACCATGTTCAAAACGTGGAGTTCCAATGCAGTTAGGTCGTTGGTGGCAGTTTCGTTCAGGTGAATGAAGAAGAAGAGATAAGACCAAACATTGTGTTCCAATTTTACATGTTGTCGGAATCCGTTTCCGTGGTTTTCAAAATCATAACTTTTTCGACCACAAATAAAACACAGAGTCCGCATATCTTCATCTGTTCGCCACTAAAAATATGGATTTAAAACAATACTACGTCAACTGACATTAGTCTGATGGACAATAACTACTGCATCTGTTTAAAATGTATTGAATTCATAAAAAGTAATACGAAAATAATATAGTGTTAGGGTTAAAATAAAGGGAAAAAGTGGTAAAAATATATCTGTGATGCTATTATATCAACCTATATGTTATCTGAAAACTTAAATAGAGGTCGTTCTTACCTTAGAATCTCTGAGTTCTGAGAATGTATCAACAATGATACCAAACACAATATTCAATCCAATAAGCACGACTACTATATAAAATGACACATCAAATATTGAACGTGTGGTGAAGGTTGGAAAGTCGGTGCTCGCAGGAATTCCTATGCTCTAGTTAAGCAAACATCAAAACAAAAATGCATCACTATTGTTAACCCAATATTGTTAATTTATGAAATTTCACATTGTTTACTCTTATAATGCTTACAATATAACAAACTTGCATTTGACACAAAAAATTCTTACGACTGGCACGCACGTACTTATTGTATATAAAGTCACATCTTTTCCCAATTACTCACCTCGTGAAACGATTCAAGAAGACCATATCGGGCTGTGGATATAAAACACTCAAACGTGGTGTTGCAGAAAAACATTTCAGTCTCTTCATCATTTATATCATAGCGGAAAAAACCAAACGCTGCTATGGAGTAGATGTATATGACTATGATGCCAAGCAAGAAGACGTACAGTAGTGACTTGCCTGTAAATTAGAGAAACACATTGTAAAATATGCATTAAATGGCTACTTTCAAATAGTTTACAAACACATTTGCCATAAATACATTGTCGTGTGCAGTGTTTCAATAAAAATCTATAACGCAATGTTTCGTCACAGCTTTTTATAGTACTAATTTAGTAATATTTCTATTACTGGCAAAATATATCATTGGCATAATCTTTTAGTTTTTTTAGAAAAATAAAAACAAAATTTAGTCTTAAACAGCGCGTTCCATCAATAAATTTGAAAATGTCCCTTCTTGGCAATATTTTAAATACACATTGCCCATATGACAACCGATTTTATCCTAAAATCTAATCGAACTGTTTTTTGACGCATTGGCCAAGAACGTTTTTAATTGACTGAGGTTATGAATACACATAGAAGACATTGGATGCATATCTCAGAAATCGGTTAATGGGTTGGTATCTATATCAAAGATATATTGTATGGCAATTCGTTACAACGTGTTGTATTATCAATAAAAAACATTCAAAGAATTCGCAATCGAACCCAAACCTTGTAACCTATTATATTATTAGACGTTTGGATACTTTTTTGTCATTTAAGAGTTTTCCTAAAGACGTACAAATCAAATATGTATATATTAGATCAGCAATATTTAATAACGTCCAGTTATCTCCATATGGGACAACACTGATAACAAAGACATCATCTTACATAAAGTGACTTACCGTTGAGTGTGACAGCCAATAATACCCTTTTTAAAAGCTGATTCATAACCACAATGTGAAGCAAATGGAAACAAAAGAAGTATCCATAAAATATAGTACCACATATGGAAAAAACGAAGAAAACCTGTGCAAAAATAAAACACACACACAAACTTATTATACTCGACGGACATGTAATAGTAAACGGATATTCCACTATTGTTAATTATTCTATATATGCATATTAATATTCAATTAATAATATGAATGATATCAATATGTCCCATGATATATATTACATGCCGTCAGCTGAATGCAATCTGTTACCCCTGTGATTAAACGTATTAAAGTGACATGCTAAAATGCAATATGAAAATTAGTATTATCAGAATAATCATGGACGGAGCTGAAACTTACAATGTAATAAAATGTGATTTGACTGAAGAATTTTGCATCCAAATATGACTGTCTCACCCTACTGACTTCCTGTCCAATTAGACTCCTATGTGAATTAAAATATTTAAAAAAGTGTGAAAGATTAATATATTGCTTCTACCAGAATAAATACATCATAAGAAAAAGATGATCTTATAATAATTTATTTGGTTATGTTATGCAGAAAATGAGATGTGAACTTTGCAGACTGTGTTAATGTCACCACATATAAGGTGATCATGCAAAGAAAATACAACACTAGCATACTTGTCTTCAAAAGTAGAATTATAGTGAATGAGGTACAATGTATCTCACATCGTACAAACCTGAAATCGTTTTGTATATCAGTTCCACTCGGTAATCTTGGACGATTAGACAGGAAAAAGCTTACAAGTAGGCAAGCAGATAACACATTATGTAAGCCGAAAAGTATATAGAGTATTGCACCCCAGTATGACGCAGTTAATATAGGTTTGACTCTGTGAAAACAAGGCATAGTATTATGTTACAAGTACTAATAATCTTGTCCGTCCTTTCGGCTTCGGATTTGGTGATTTACTATTTATTCAGTGTCAAAAATAAAATATTTCCTTTACACAATTATTCACTTGTATAATAAATATTTATGACCATAAATTAAAAGATGAATTATGTGTATTTAGAATTGAAGTAACAATAATAAGACTTACTGATGATCGTCTGGTGGGGCAACCCATGTAGCGAGAATGATGATATTTATTGTAAACGATAGTAATAACAAAGCCCAGTTCCATAAAGGTCTATGAATTGAAAATATGTGGAGCTGCAAGTAAATCTATATTACACTGATTACTACCAAATAATAAATAAGTAGCATATATCGCGCAAGCAAATTGTCATACAATAATATTATAACTTGTCAGATACGTTTACATTTATAGAATGTATGTTTGTGTTTTTGCGCTGTTGGGGAAAACAAAATAATGAAATTCTGATTATATCGGATACGAACAATGAGAATATGATGGATATATTGGTGTGTTTTTTACTCACGTTAAAAGTATAAAAAATTTGGCTGGTCTGTACGATAACACTTTGTTTTGATAATTGATGTCTTTCACGATATCTTGTGACCAATGAACAAAATCTTGAATCTTTTCAATTTGTGATTCTCGTTTTATGTTCCATTTCATTTTCTCCTTCACTTCAGTTCTCAGAAGATTCTAAATAGAACATTGACATAAAATGAGTGTAAAAATGCTAATCCTGTTTAAATATTTGTCATTACCAGTAGATGACTATTATGACAATGTAAATACATTTACACCTACAACTCATATAACTCAATATCTTGCCAATTATCGTCATGAACATGAAATGTGAAAGGTCAAACTACCAGCGCCTTCAATGCATGCTATATAGCTCCGGAATGCCATACATACTTTATAATTCAAGACTTTGTCACCGGATACAGGATTTAAAAAATATACTGAAAAACAGTATATTTTGAATGTAAATACTGTCACTTGTTCATGACTTACAGTATTCTTAACTCTGAAGTGTACTTTCTGGACATCACCGTTTCTCAGTATTTCAACTGACATCGAATTAGCTTCATAAAAGTTCCACGCTCTAATAACTTCTTGATTATGCGTATTCATTGTTGGACTATGTTCATCATCGGTATCTTTTAATTCATGTAAAATATATCCTATGAAAATAATTCATAAATAAACAAATGAATAATAAAATAGCAGTTTTTAAATGTGATAAAATGGATAATAATAATAATAATAATAATAATAATAATAATAATAATAATAATAATAATAGACTCTGAAAAATGTTCTTACTTTCTTTACTGATAGTGGCATCAATATCCTGTAGTCTCATTAGAATGTGAAAATATGCAAATCCTATTTGTGTATAACAGTTTTTGTCGCTTTCATTTGTATTTACCTGCAACAGAGAGTAAGATTGATTTTATGTTTTTTTAATCATACAAATTGTTTTAAGTTAATCTATTTGCAATAAAATAATTTTTGTTTTAATTATGGTGCTCACTATATTCTAAAAGAAAACATTTTTGTAGTTTTGCAGGTGTAAGTCAACAATTTATCGTTGAAATACTTCTGCAAGTGCACAAAAATTAATCTATGCTAAATAAAACTTGGGCATGAGTATTGCCATGATCTTCACCATCAAAATGGTTGTTGATATAAGTAATATAATTATAAATGCATTTGAATGCTTAACCACCACGTTATCATCGCTCATATGTCATATGCTGCATTTGCTCTACATAAACTTTAGCATACAAAATGTTGACTTACAGCGAAAGATTTCTTGTAATAATCCACCATTATTTCATGTATTACATCATTGTCTATTTTGTCCATGATTTCATTCGCAAATTCCGACCCTTCACGACTTTGTTCTTCTATCATCGACATAACGAGATTAGCCATAACTAATTTAAGTTCATGTATCTAAATTGAAACAAGTTACTGATACTGTATCTACCTCAAACAGTTGTCTTGACTTCTTGACTAAAATTGTAAAAGTTGTGTTAAGTTTACTTTTACAGGTCAAACGGTCAAAAAATGAATCAGTAAACAGGAACATATCGGTCCTGGGACCAAACGCCCCTAGTGTATTTGTCACTAGCCGTCTTCTACACTATTTGTTGGGACGTTTTAAAAGTAGTACAAAGGACTGGCAGTGTCTAATAAATAAGAGCGATATTGACCCCCTGATCCATGTAGTTTATGTTGTCATTAGCACTATTTGTCAGTAAATAGTAACCCAAATGAGGTAAGACATAAGTGTCAGCACTTGAAAAATGCGAATCTAGAGAGCAAAGTAGTGGGAAAGTGGTGCAAAGTGTTAAACTAGAGTGCCAAGTAGTGAAATAATGATGCAAAGTGTGAAACTGGAGTGCAAAGTAGTGAAATAGTGATGCAAAGTATAAAACCAGAGTGCAAGGTAGTGAAATAGTGGTGAAAAGTGTGAAACTAGAGGGCAAAGTAGTGGAATAGTGGTGCAAAGTGTGAAACTAGAGTGCAAAGTAGTGAAATAGTGATGCAAAGTGTTAAACTAA